TTTTACCTTCAGGGTACCTATAAAAATGTAATTTTTTAAATAATTACCGTGTTCATTGGTTTCGACAAACTTAACCTCACTTTTTGGATTTCATTATTTGAAAAATTATTGCTTCTTTGCAAAACAGACCAGATGATTTATTCTGTTCAACTCCAATCGACTTTCCAAGGTGTAATTCATGACAAAGCCCTTAAACGTTTTTCTGACAATTTACAATTTTTGAAACTGAAATGTTTGCAGTGGCGTTCACAAATGCCCGATAACACTGCAACCCTTAATGCTCTGGCCTGGCGTCTTTTCGTGTCTATTTAAAATGCAATTAAACCGCGAACCGGGCATTTCAATTTTTGACACATCTGACAGATTTGTTTGGACGTTCGTGACATTTCAAAACAGTTCAAATCATTTTGGTGATTAGCGGCACGAGAAAAATTTCATTTGTTTTTCATAGGTGAGTTGACTACAATATTTTATAATGACCCTGTACATATTAATCTAATTTCAGAATAACAAATAAATAACCGAGTTTGGATTTTTTACAAAACTGCCTAACTTGTTTCAACAGCTATAATTGCTGCTGATTCCAAATGTGAAATAACTTAGACAAATTTTAAAATTATCACTGAAAAAGAAAATAATAGAACAACTTTTTCCAAAGCACACTATGAAGATTCTTTATACATATTATAGCCTCTTCTAAATTTAAAAATGTATGTAAATTTTTTTGACTGAGATAGAATATAATAAATATAATGATATAAAAATAAATAATGGTCCGTAAATCATAAATCTTTTTTTATTATAGGACGAAGTTGCTGATTTCGACTCCATCGTGAATCAATAATTTCTGGGAGCATGGCTTTTAAATAAAATTTTTCCAAATAATTTTCCATTTCCAGGGGTTACAGAAATTTCTATCTCAGTCTACATTTTTAAATTTAGAGGAAGTTATAATATAAAGATATAAGGATAAGTAATTCAGTACATACACACGATTAGTGCCTAATAACTATTTAATCTTCATAATTTGCTTTGAATAAGTTTATTCTATTCTATTCATATTCATTGATTCATGATAATTTTGAAATTGGTCTAACTTGGGATCAGCAGCAATTATAGCTGTTGAAACAAGTTAGGCAGTTTTGTAAAAAATCCAAACTCGGTTATTTATTTATTATTCTGAAATTAGATTAATATAATACTCCTACATAATTGTACGATTCCACAACCTTCAGGTAGAACACACTACGGTCACCTCATTTGCATATTTTCTCAACAATGGTTTTAAATCCGTCTAATCTCTCAATAGTGGCCAACCCCTATCGTAAATCATACACTTTCTTGGCTCGTTCTTGACGAAAGGAAATGTTTGGTTGCCTACATTTACAAAAAATGCCCTTTTTAGGTCTTGCTTTAATCAACAATAACTAAAAAATGGATAGTTTAACGAAAAAATAATTATTAGTCCCAAGTGAGCAATAATATTATCTACACTGTCAGATTTTTTTAAGCCAAAATACGTTATAGTTTTGGCTCAAAGAGAAAAATAAGTTTTTCTGTTTTTATTTTTTATTAAAAAAACGAAAGCCTTTAATGCAATATAAAAACTATTTCCATGAAGATTTTTGTATCACGAACAAGTAGATATGTCGCACAAGTCTTCAAGTGCTATAGTAAGGATGATATTGGAAGTGGCGTTTTGCCGTATTTCGGCAGATTTTAATGACTGTAAGGAGGAGCCTTAAGGTACTCAGATAGCTTCTAAACTGTAAATTCACTTTTCATTGTTTTATTCTTTTTCATAAGTGAACTAGAGTTGATTCGCATGCTCTTCATTTAAAATAAGCATCAGTGGCAGTTCGATGGGTTATAGATTTTTCAAACTGTAATTAAAAGGCGTCATAAATGCCCTTTCATGAAAAACAACGGAGGTTTAAACTGCTGTTTCCACCTCCGAGTTGTCGTAAAATCTCCACGCGACAAATTCGAACTAAACTGTGTTCATATTGTTTCGCCCAAATCAATTTTACTGCGAAAACTATGTTGTAAAGCAAGTATTAGTTAAAAAACATTCAAAAAGAAAAACCGAATAACAAACATCGACACTTCATACGCCCAAATTTAACGTTAATGTTTAGATGTGAGTATGTAAGTAAGTTTAAATTGAACACTGGAGAGTTTGGAGCTTAGGGTTTTTTTTGTCGACCATCAAGTTTTTACAAAATATTTCCCTAATAACATATTAAGCGTTACATAATTTTTGCTGTTTGCACAGTTTATAATTACTGTTTAGGAATATTTTTTATGTCCCTATAAACAGTTTGATTAATTGTGGAATTGCTCACAAATACACCCAACATTTTTGAAAAAATAAAATAATATGGTGTATCTGACAACTTCAACTGACAAGAAAAAAGCTGTGTTTTTGTGTTGATGTTATTTACTAAAAATTGGAAAATACTTCAAGCTTTGTGGTTACCACTTCAAACAGGTCTGGACTTATAGTCAGTTCCTTGAAAATGTACACTGTTCTGTTACTGACGAGCACGTAGAATGAACAGGGTCATATACAAAACTTTCCAAATCTGCTTAGTGGGACATAAGATATAAATCAGTGTTGAAAATAGGCTCAGTATCGCGATCCTCAAATTAAAAAACATCATCCTCTTTTGATTCAAATACATCTATGAAACATGGAGAACATATTTAGTTACAATTTCTTGTTGTTAATTAATAATTGGAAATTTTCAAGTACGTCAGTCTTCTAGGCTAAATTGGATACTCATTCATCATTGCACTCGTAAATAACTCACATACTTCTTGTGTACGGCATTCCAATTGACAGTTAATATTTTAGTGAAGCTACCACTTTTTACTTGTATGAATGAGTGGCAATAAAAAATTTTAATCAATTTCCATGAATTAAAACGAAACGGTCAATATTGAACAGTTTAATCCATGAAATCCGTGATCAACAAAGTCAAATATCGATCTCCCCTTTTCATCTGTTTATCGTATCTCATTATCATCTAACGATGTTTGACTATCAACGTTTTTGTTAGAAACTTCAAAAAACTTTAACCAACATTTGTCTGTTCTTTCCGATCACAGATCGATCTAACGACGCCATCTCAAAATATAATAAATCTTTCTTGAAATTCATCCTGTGAAAAACTCCTTTATTTGTCGTTTAGTAGTGTACACATATTTGTAAAGCATTTAGAGCGCGGTTCTCTCACCCTCTGAATAGTGTCACACACGTCTTTGGGGAGAATTTTTATACAAAAAGGAGCTTCACGCCATACTACACGTGTTTAATAAGATTTCCTTATGTTAGTGAGATTTAACTAGGCAGAATGGTCTGCACTGATGAGACCCAATAAGGTCAAAACTATAGCATCCAAAAAAATTTAAAAACTTGTGTAGCAAAAATGTCTCTACAAATGTCTACATATTTACATTATACAGTCATACACATTCATTCATTTGTGGTTATACAAGTCTACTAATGCAAGTGAACCTCACTTTAACAGTTAGTATGTGCGTCAAATTCAGATTCAACTGCATGGATACTGTTTCGCATAAATCAATTGCGTTACGTAAAACCATGTTGCGAAATAAGCATTAATCAAAACAAAAACCAACAAGGGTGACAACTGGATAAAAGCCATCAATATTTAACTCGCGCATTAATAGGACGGAAGGTCACCCCAATCATCGAACGTGCAGATATTACTGGTACTCGAGGGGTTAAGTGTAGAGGTGGTGATTTAACATGAAAAATTATTTAAAAGTGTGGGCTTTGGAAAAAAACTACCGCTGCGATGTTCATGTTAAATGTCGACAAAATTAAAATGCAACATGCTGATGTTGAACACAGCTTTGGGACTTTGCCGCCATAAATTTGTTCGAATTATTTATTATTAGGACAACAATTTGAATTATTTTTATCCTTATTATGTTATTAGAGCCTTAAATTTATTTTAAATTTCGGTTCTAATTATTTCTATATGTATATATTTTTTTTATTGTGTACTAGTGTCACATTCAAACCAATTTTTGTTGGACCCTTGTTTATAATTTATGCTTGAATGAATCGCAGTATTCGACGAAACGGAAGACCTATTTTTTCATACTGTAGGGGTCATGAAACATCAAGAAAATGAAAGTAGCCGTTCGCCGGATGGCTTCCGCTTACACTCAAAAAGTAAAAAATTCAAATTAGTAACATATTACATCTGGAAGTTATAAAATTGATGGATCATTACTTTCTAAGGCTATCTAATACTAACTCCAACTTTCCACTTTTAATTTTTATTTGACATACAATTTTAATAAAGCGATTCGTGTTACTAAGTTGAAATGAGCTTGGTAAGGGCATACAATCCTCATAAAACGTCAAATTATATCGGTCAATAAAGTGAAACTAGGAAAACGTCTCTCCTGTCCGTTTACTGCTCTAGCAAAAACCCGATTCACGTACAGCACCAGTGTCCACGGACACTCAAATGTTCTAATCTCGCGATATTATATTAAACACGTTTTCCATTTATGGCAGACTTTATGATATTCGCACAACAAAACTAAAAATGAAAATTTAATTTGAAGTGAAAACTGTGGAAGAATACTGCACCATAGTTGAATTTTGCAATGTTTGTGCTATTAATGGGTGGAACATAGAGTCGAATGTGAAAGTAAAATTTTTAAGGGTTACATTATGCCAGGTCATTTAAATTGCAAAAGGTACACTCTCATTAATGAAATTTTGATGACGTTTTCGGTTCGAAAATTATCACTGTGATATTACAAAATCATGCGTCAATAATTTGCTATGAACACGTTATGGAACACACAAAACTAAATCTTTTATTTGAATAGATCTCGTTTAATGTAGATGTAAAAACTTTACGCTTGTTTAATGAGTGCGTTCATTGCACTTGTAAATTGGATGCTGAAAAGCGAACGATAATTTATGTGTGTTTTGGAAGATAACTCATTAATACTATTGATTCTATTTTAATAGCTACATACAATATTGTTATTATTGACTTAAAGTTTCGTTCCTGTAACCATTATACCTCCTGTCTATAATTTGCATAAAGTCATCTACTTGCTTGGGAATAATTCGTTGTGTCAGAGGAATTCGTAACGAAGGCACAGCTAATAAAAGACCGATTACCAATAATAATGGCCAAATCCAAAGAATCGTTCTCAGTATCTAGCAAATTTAACAGATAAACACAAATTCTTCTTTATTATAATGCTTACCTGAATCAGCCAAGAAAATAACACCCAAGCCCCCAAACAACATAAACCAACAAAAAATAGAGCTTGTATTTCGTCGTTACTATTTACTGAGCCAAATAACTCTCCTAGCGATGTTGCGTCAAAGTATTTCATGTTCCTTTTTTTGTGTTTTTGAAAAATCGAAGAGTGAAATAAACTATCAATTTATTAAAGTAATGCCAAATTTCTTGTCAATCAAGACAAGTTTGACATAAATTATCAAAGCCTCATGGCTACTTTGATAAAAATCGTTCGATCAGGAGTTATGCTTATATGGTTTGACCATGATTAAAGTGGTTCATTCAGTCTATAGAACAAGCTCCCTGAAACCTGAAAAATGTATATTTTCAGTTTATTTAAAACATTTGGACATAAACCTAAAACATTCTTACCTCGGTATCTTCCTGTATACTGAAAACCTATTAGAAGGTCAGACATTGGGCAAACCTACCCTGTATAAATTATAAGTGAAAATAAGAATCCTCAAATCTCGGCTTGTGCCTAACCTATGTTATTAAAATTGGTTTTATTTTTGTAGATATTTAACAATTAATGTTGTCATTAATATGCATGTGTACGAGCAATAAATAAAACATTAACGGTCTTGTTTTTTGGTGGGTTCCGGACAATTTTACTGTGAGTTGAAGTTTAATAAAATTCGAACCCCTTTTGACTTACAGATTACTATTTAATAAAATGACTTGGTCAATTATATTGGATAACCGCGTTAGAAGTAAATATTTAAGCCTTTCATAATGCTTAAATCGCATTTCCAAATATCACTATAGCGTTTAACTAATGAATTTATTAAAATCTTCATTGCCTCTAAATGGTATTTTCGAGTCACATATAGATTTTTCGTCTCTGTCCCAGTGTCTCCACTAATTGATGTGCTTATAGGAGGAGGGTGTCAACCTAAAACACTTCAAAATGTGACGTGTCTATTTGTAGAGCTTAACTAAATACATAAATCGTAGCATATACAATGGAACTATTAATATAGGTATTTTAAATGTTCAAATCAAATTCAAGATTTAATTAACTACAAACAAAGTTTGATGTGTGCAAGGTGCAGGTGACTACAAAGCACGTTCTTGACCATAAGTATTTTCTATTTTTAAATATATTTTTTTAAGATTAATAATAAGTAAATAATCTTTGATTTGCTATTAGCAATTACCAATTAATTTATGACTGTTTATTGACGCGTGTTCTGCGTAATTCTGTTGGGATCTCTCTAATAAATTATATTGTTTCGCAGTGCTAATAAACTTTTTGTATAATGAATTAATGACAGAATAAGGCCGTAGTTGTGACAATGTCAAACTTTCCGATCGTTATGTTGTATTAATCGGTCCACTTCTCTGGTTTAAGGATACAAAATCAATCAAATTTCATTTTCTTTTATGCGGCCGCTAATGCTTGTACGTGATATACTTAGTCGAATTCTTTCGATGTATAAACATAACTACTCGAAGTTACCCAGGGGCTACGCTATCACAAATCAAAAATCGCAATATCAAATTTCATAATTTTTTAAAGAGGCAGGTTTTGTTTTAAGGGCGAGGTAAGTTCTGCCGAAATAATATTCGACCCTTTTTTTAATTCTGGGGGTTATGATTATGAAACGTCGATAAAACATGAAAGTATCTAGATGGATATTATTACAGTAGGTATAGTGTGTGAGATACTACAAGGTTATATAGCCCCATAAAACTTAAGAATGGGATCTTATAATTCCTTTTGAGCGGCTGGTTACCGGCTTAATCCTAGCGTGATAAATCAAGAATTTGTCTGAATATCTTGCCACCTCAATATCTACGGCTGAGTAATCCGCTTAAAACTTTTTGGTACATTAAACCAACACAAATACAGCCATATAACCTTGTAGTATCTGACAGACTATACTTTTCTAACTGATGCTCCGAAACTATACAGCTTTAGTATATAAGTTAAACGGAACACACTATATGTTTGAAAATACTTTTAGATTAAAGGTATACTTGATTGCGTTGAAGAATTTTTTCTACAGTCTACAGCGAATGTTTAATTTTCTGCCCTTTGACCTTTGGAACACCCCGTATGAATCTATTTTACCGTAGTACCTATTTTGACAGAAATAGTGAAAATATCTGATTTCTCTGTAGTGTCATTACTCATTAACTCATTAACTGCCGAACAATCAAATATTTTTGAGGGACGTATTTAAATAGAGTTATTTAATTTGTTTTTGGCGAATTGTATGTAAAATTCATAATTTTTTATTCGGACACACACTGCCAAAATTCTGTTCTGCTATAATGAATGATGTTGCAGTATTTAATTTAATTAGGTTTCAGGTAGTGTGCGATGCATCGATGAATAAAAACTCTGCAAAAAATATCTGATAAGATAAGGTATCGGCGAGAATTTTTTGTTCATTTTTCGTGTTATGCGAAGGAGTTCAGTCGCAGTCGGTTTTAACTTTCTTGAAGGCGTGTGCGGTGTAAATTAGTTTGTTTAAGTGGTTTATTATTGTTAAAAATAATTTGATTTCGGCTTAAAGTGAATAGTGAGTGTTGTGTTGTGCCCATGAGGAAGGAGTCTGCAATCATCGGCGCAGAAGGAAAGGGAATCAGGATTTAAAGGGTAAGTGTATTATTTCTTCCAGTTCTTTTATTCTAAGTTGATATAAAAGTACGAATGTTAAGGGAGAAGTAGCTGTATTGTACAAACTGTTATTTAACGACTTGATAAACATGTCTCTTTCAACAAGAACTCAAACGTTAATATCTCGTCAGATATTTATTCTTTAAAAGTGGCCTTTTTTGACTGAAATAATTTGAAATATCTAATAGGTTTTTATCAATGTTAATTATTTAAAAATTATCTCCCATTTTGATTTTTATCTCCTTAAGATTACTCATTACAGACCGTCCTTACGTTTTACGCAAAGAAGTTCACTAAATCAGCAAAACGCCTCAGACAATCATTTTAATTGGAAACAGTGGTTTTCAATGTTTGACTTTATTGGGAATTGTTTATTGAGGTTTCGGTTAAATTAACTTTATTCCATTTTGACAATTTAAACTGACTATTAACTCCATAGTAACCTTCATAAGGAGTTCATGATTCACTAGTGAAATCAAAGCGTTTCAATTAAGAACAGATTTTTATTTCTTCTCCAAAAATATTAACATTGAATTAGTCTTTGTCATTGTAGTGTGAAATATAAAAGTTACAATTATTCAAATTATTAAAATTTATATCAAATTTCCGATGAATGGGCAAAATAATGTCTTGATGATTAGTTTCTTGTTGTGACACGGAATTTGACGCAGAGGAGCCTGCTACGGGATTCAAGGCAGATCTATTATCAATTATTGTTGATGATCGCTCAATGATTTTTCTCGAAATTTCGATTTTATTATTCAGAGAATCCTCTATGTATTCGAACGCCAGCCACCGTGTCTCTTTACAACTGTTAAATCTGCCCCAGAGTCTGCTAGTAGAGTTGCACTCGCACGCCTAAAACTATGACCGGTGTATTCTTGTGGATTTTGGAGGCCTAGAAATTGGGCAATTTTTTTGGGAATTGTTGAAAAAGTGTTCACTCCAACTGGTTGTACCGTGCATTTTTTGTTCTTGTAATTAATGAACAACCGTTTGTGTGAAATCTTTTCAGGCCGTAATATTCTGTACTTCCGAAAAACGTCAATAGCAGGAACAGAGTTACTTCCATTTATGATGGTAAATGTTCTGGGTTTATGAGTCTTCGTGTCTGGAATTTGGACTACAAGTACTCTACCCCTGTCTTCAACATCATCAACTGGCATGGCCACCAATTCACCCATTCTACATCCTCCAAAAACTCCCACGACAAAAAATACTTTTTGCAGTAAATATTCATCATCAGAAGCATTATCTAAAAACCTTTCCATTTCTTCGAGCGTGAACACTTTGGATTTCTTTGGTCTGTGCCCTACAGACTGTTGTTTTAGGAAAGCTGACACTTGATGAAATCTATAATAATGAATATTTTAAACCTTATATTAATCATTGCGATGTCACAAACCTGCTTATATCAATATTTTCCTTCACAGATAACATCTTCTTCAGTTGGGAATAATACGACCATAGTGATGAAGATTTAGCATTTTTTGACCGTTCCGAAATATAAGCCAAAATTATTCTTTCATCTACTCCTTTTGCATGCTTTCGTTTCCTCCATTCACAAAAATTCGTATACTCTTTTTCATATGAATGCTTGGATTTTGCTGGCACCACCTTATTGATAGCTTCCAAAGCTTCGTCTAGGACTGCTGAGGGTACAAACACTTCGTTTTCGTCTTTATCTTCCAAAATTCCAGACATTTTTGTCTAGGAAAACACAAATGCCGCCAGTGTCACAAATTTAGAAAAATGTAAACAACTGGTTGTTAAGCTGGTTGTCACGAAAATTAGTTTCGCAGTTTACACGATTTCTCGATTCGAATTTTTATTTATTGAAATTTTATTAATAAAATTCGTCAAAATGGAATAAAAACATATATACACCGCGTGAATCAAACATATTTATTCACTCGAAGAAATGATCTCACTCGCACTGCGTGCTCGTGATATCAACATCTTCTCGTGAATAAACGTATGTTTGATTCACTTAGGGTGGGTTTTTCCATCTCTAGTTAACTTACGGTTTAACCTAACTCACAGTTAACTAGGCCTGCAGTGTTTTTCCATTTTCGTTAACTAACGGTTTAAAGTTAACTTCTAATTTCATTTAACCAAAACTCAAAGTATCAGTTAACTAGTAGTTTCATATTTTGACGTTTGATTTGATAAAACTGTCATCAGTAAAATGATGGATTTCGTCGATATTAACGTTTATAGCGACGATGAGGAGGTGCCTGTACGAAAATAAAGAGTTTTAAGGGAACGTATAAACCATTTTGAAAAATGGGATAGAAAAGAATTCTTACAAAGATAAACGTTTGCAACTTTTTTTTTAAATTGGCGTATTTGCATTTTAAAATTTGGACCCCTTTAAAATGCCCCCCAACAGTGGAATTGAATTCATCTGCAATGGTACGCCAGGTATTTGCCTTCTGCTCCCATGTTACCTGGCCACTTTTTTTGCATTCAATTATATTTCTATTTTTATTAACCAATTGGGTCAAAATCCTTTCCCCTTCTTTCGTAAAGTTAG